CTCCTCAGCCGCCTCGCCTCAGCGGAGGCGGGACTAGCCTCCCTGGCCGGGTTAGAAGTCTGGGGGTGGGGAGGAGGAGGAGGAGGAGGGAGAAGCGCCACTCGGGAGGGAGGAAGAGCCTCTGGCTTTGGAAGGTTCGTAGGATGTCGCCGGCGTTGCCTTCCTTGCGGTGACACGAAGAGGCTCAACCATCCGAAGGTAAAACCAAAGGGAGCCCCTTCAGATGTCGTCTCGGTCCTCGACGTAAACTGCGAGCTACCTTCTGAGAGCGCCTGACGGGGAGTGAAGCTCCCTGATTCCGGTAGACTTGCGAGTTGAGGACCTCAAAAACCCCGAGTGGTTTAGCAAACAAAACTGATGATCATTTTGGGCTGTGGAACCTCGCAGGATACATAATGGCCTGAAGCTACCTGCGATATTAATCAGAAAGCAAATAAGGTTGGCTTTATATATGTATGTGCATGTATAATACACAACACATGTGCATACATGTATATACAGCTAGTCCCTGACTTACTGCCACAATTGAGCCCAAATTTTCTGTTGCTAAGCAAGATAGTTATTAAGTGAGTTTGGCCCCGTCCTATGACCTTTCTTGTCACCGTTGTTAAGTGAGTCACTGCATTTAAGGTAGTAATATGGTTGTAAAGTGAATCTGGCTTCCACATTGACTGCTTGTCAGAAGGTTGCCAATGGGGATCACATGTCCACAGGAACACTGCAACCATTATAAATATGTGTCAGTTGCCAAGCATCTGAATTTTGATCACAAAACTGATGATTCAAAAGTCATAAGTGTGAAAAACGGTCATAGGTCACTTTTTTCAGTGCTGTTGTAACTTCAAACAATTAAATGAACTGTTGTAATTTCAAGGACTACCTGTATGTTTATGTGTATATATGTATACATATGCACACTTATCAATACACATACACAGAACCATGATAGAAATAAATCAGAATGAATATACATATATCACCATAAGATAGGAATGCATCATAAATAAATGAATACTCCCCTATATAAGAGGAAACTTTTGGTATGGCTTAAGACTGTTGTTTATGTAAACAATTCAGCTGAGAAATAATTTGGAAAACAATTAACACATAATAATGTGAGGCAGCACTCCTTACTTCACCCTTGGATTTGTTTCCTCAGCAATGACCTTGGGAAATTGGAAAGTCAGACTAAAGAGAATTTTGTTTTTCATATGACTGTCTCCCACAAGATCTGCCTGACCAGTTAGGCGCCACTCTGGTTTTCTTTGATTAGATAATGCCATTCTCAGGACTCTCAAAAAGTACACTCTCTCTCTGAGCAGCCCTTAGCATCCCCTAAGATCTGGATGCCTCCCTGCCCCACCCCTGCCGCCATTGGTTCAGAAGAGCCTCTTCACCCAGACCTTTGGTGAGGGACAGTCCTCCCTTCACTGCATTTGCCATCTTTTTTTAAAATTTCATTTTAGTTTCTTTGTTTAATTATTGTGAGCTGCCCAAAGTCATTGGAAGTTTGGTGGCCTATAGATAATCTTCAATTTACAACTAATCATTTAACAACTGCTATTACCGACCCACAAAACCTACTTACAAGTTCCAAAGTTATGATGGCTGTCCCCCCCACCCCAAAGCACACACACTGCAGTTACACAGTTGTATTTTGGATACACTCGAACCAGTTTTAATTTATGGCTGTTTGCAGCACCCATAGAGTCATGTGACTGCAATCAGCAACAATTTTTTTCCAGAAATGAGTTTTTGCTTTCAGTTCCTGAAAAAAATATGCCCAATAGGGGACATTGGTTTCATATCGTGACTCACTTTACAACCATCACAATTTACGAGCATAATTACCAGGCTCAATTATAGTCATAAGTTGAGGACTACCTAGACAAATTTAATAAATTATTATCATCATAACCTTGAGCCAATTCTTATATGCTATCCTATACTGTACAAGTTACAGATTGTTTGAAAAGGGGAAAAAAGGGCTCATAAGTGCTTGCTTTAATCATTATTAGCTTGAATCTCCAGTAGCTTAAGTAGACATGACAAATAACAGGGGAAGGAACACAGAGTGTTTAATCATTTGTCATCAAAAGCCACTGAATTGAGGAGGAATTTGCTTTCAATCTGATAAATCCTAAACACAATTTTCTATGATCTTACATACACGTACTTGAGATAAAATCCCACTGAAACTGAACTGGAAGTTTAAATATGGGCTGCAAGAGAATCATCAAAACCAAGATGATAACAACAAATTAATCCCAAACTAAACATCAGAAAACATGCTTAGTTTCTTATATTTATAATTGTAGTAATTGGAAATAATTTCATCTCAGTTTAAACATCATAATGGTTTGTTTAATCACAACCAAAGAAAGGCCCAAGCACACAGCAGATCGTTAAAACACTGTATTATCTAACTTTTGGATGGATCCATTTCATTTCCTCACTGTTAGATACTACAGCACCTAAATGTAATGCCACACGGATTAATGACAACTTTAAAACATTGATTATATATATTTACAGGAATTTAGATGATTCTTAGATTGGAATGGATAATAATTATTAAGAAAGTATATGCATGTATTTGCATTGTGTTCAAATTATATAATATTTATAAGGTGAAAACCTAAGTAAATAACCCCCATTGATACTATAGAGAAAGCCTGCCTAGTATTAATCTCCATAGACACTGGGTTGAATTATGGGGGCATTATTTGCTGAAGAAAATGAAAACTAGGTTTGTTTTTTACCAGGTATATAATAAGTAAATATTTATCACATTTTGATTGCCCATTCTATTTAACACATACATACGTACACACACATTATATATATTTGCACACACATGGTATGTATACACACACACACACACACACGCAGAGCCCCCCCCCCCCCATGTATAAGTATACTTCCTGGTAAACAAAGATTAAAACTCAGTTGCAAATGGAACAAAAGCAAAGATAAAAGGCAAACTTTCTGTATATTATTTTGTTGAAATATTATGAATTTTCCTCATGTATTGAGACAATAGCATTGAAAAATAAAGGCTAACCCTCTTGAAGTTTCATGATTCATAATGGGCAATGCTTCTGAGTAAATATATTTATGAATGAGATAAAGCAAATTGATTACAGCACTTGCTATATTCAGGTAGGAAAAATCAGGGGTATCAAACAGGTGGCCTGTGGGACAGATGCATCACATGCAGGCCATGCTCACCCCAACTCCTTGAAGGGAAAAAATATCACGATACGTCATGTGATGGCAATGTGACACCGCGAGTTTGTCAACCGTGATCTAAATGAAACAGCATATACATTTTCTTAAATAAATATACTGTATAGGTAGTCCTCGACTTACTCATGTAGTGACTGTTCAAAATTACAACAGCACTGAAAAAAGTGACTTATGAGCATTTTTCGCAGTTACAACTTTTGTAAAATCCCGATGTCATGTGATCAAAATTCAGATGCTTGGCAACTGTATCATATTTATGATGTGAACCAGTGATTATGACATTCAGCTGTTTCCCAGGGTCATGTAATCACCTTTTGTGACCTTCTGATAAGCAAAGTCAATGGTGAAGCCAGATTCATTTAACAATCAGATTAGTATCTTAACTGCAGTGATTCACTTAACAACTGCGGCAAGAAATGTCGTAAAATGGACCAAAACTCACTTAACAAATGTCTCAACAACAGAAATTTTGGGCTCAATTGTGGTTGTAAGTCGAGGACTACTTATATGACCAAGTCAGCTGACCTTTTATATAACATTAACAAAGTATTTTGAACTTATATATTTCTAAAATAAATATCTGGCACCGATGGCATCTTTAGTTTACCAGCCTTGTCTATATTGAGTTAGCAAGGCTTTAAGCACATCAATTCTGGGAAATGGAAGAAAACGAAAGGTTTCTGGAAGGCATTTTTTACCATTCCAGTTAGAAATACACATACTTTACATGTCATAACACCTGTCCTCTGAAATGAAGTCCCTACCCCTGAAGATCTATATGTCTCCCACCTTCTGGTATTTCAGAAGGCCTTGAAGACCTGGCTCTTCACCCAGGTCTTTGGCTGGGATTGGTACATCTTCTGAGGAGTGGATATGGGCTTTGTTTTGTCATTTTTGTTTTCTGGTTTATCTTCTTATATTGCTACATTGTTTTAAATGTTTATAGTTGTCTCGTGAACTATCCAGGGACTGCTACTATAAAAAATGCCTTAAAAATATCCTGAGTGTTGTGTATTCTTCAGTGTACTTCTAATGTGTGTGTGTATATGGGTGTGTGTGTGGGCAGTTATGCTCCTTGGTTTGTTCCAATTCTTATGTAGTGCCTGGATATTCATAAAGAATGCAGATAGTAAAATGTTTTTTTCCCAAGGTCTCCAGAACACATGATTAAAAAGAAAGTATTTTCTTTCCCTATAAATTTACCCTGTTGTATCCTTAGATGGCTGGAGGTGAGGAAAAGCCCATTGCATGTTGTAACTGAAAGAAGAAAGTGCAGAAGTTGATTTTGCTATTTAAATAAATTTTAAAAAACCATAATATATCAATAGACAATACCAACTCAGTGTAAATAAGTTGAAAAGAAGTAACAGCCTTTTATCTACTTTGACTTAAACATTCACAGAGAAGGTGTTTGTATCTGCAACTTGGGAGAAGGACTGACAGATCTAGCAAAATATTAAAATGCACCGATATTACATTGCCCACATAAGTGGAACGACAAATTTCCCAGCTGCAACAGATACCAGTGAAAGCTGGACCATTAGAAGGGATGACAGAATTACTTTAAATTATGTTGAGAGAGACCTTGGATCACAAAATAACATTTTGAAGGGACCTTGGAAGTAGAATGTGCTTAAGCAGCCCATATCATTTGAGACAGATAAAATTAGATAAAACAAGGTCAGACAGCTCCCCATAAGCACTAAATACAAGGCTAAATTTTTGATGTTTTGGACACAGTGCCTAGACAA